AGATTCTCAAGAAGTCTTGAAGTATTTTAGAAATATATCGAGCAAGGTTATAGACACAGTTAAGAGATCCACTCCGATTAATCGTGATTATACTGAGCACAGGCATGTTAAAAAACTATAGACTTAAATGCAAGAAGACAAATTCTGATAACATGTTTAACTGTGGTGAACCAGGTCACACTGTCACAAGAAGTTCTAAGGAGCTGACTAAAGTGTCGACGCTTTTGTGTCGAAGTGAAGAAGTCTTTTTCTAGGTGACCATCCTAGATGTAGTGGCGGTTAAGAATATCCACTACCCCATATCTTCCCGTGGGTGTCGTAAAAGGCGACAAAGGGAAACAGGCAGGAGATGGGCAGCAGCATCTTCCTGATAATAGCCAAAATAACAATAAAAAAACTGCGGTTGCCAACCCGCTCGCCAAGCGTGGCAACTATGGCAATATACCCCCCATGAGCAATGACAATAACAAACGGCCCCCAGTCCCCGGCGGCCCCGCTATTCCTGGCTACGGTGGCGACCATGGTAACGGCGGGGCAGGGGGTGCTAAGAATCTCCGGTGGAGGTTCGGTTGCCACCTACGACGACTCGACCTGGCAACATACAACGCACGCACCCTGAGGACTGACGAGAAGATTGTGGAGCTGGAAGAAGAGATAGACAAGTTACGCTGGCATATTATAGGATTATCCGAAGTCCGAAGAGAGGGGGAGGACACGGTAATCCTCGAATCCGGCAACTTGCTCTATTACCGGGAGGGCGACCATCTGTCCCAAGGAGGTGTCGGATTTATCGTCCACAAGTCTCTCGTTAACAACGTTGTAAAGATTGAGAGTGTGTCGACGAGGGTTGCGTACCTTATACTCAGAATCACCAAACGGTATTCGCTGAAGGTCATACAGGTTTACGCACCAACCTCGGCACACCCCGATCAGGAGGTGGAGGAAATGTATGAGGATATTTCTAGAGCCATGTATTCCTCCAAAACTCAATATACGGTGTTAATGGGAGACTTCAATGCAAAACTAGGCACAAGAGAGAACGGTGAGCTGAAAGTAGGGAAATTTGGAATAGGGCAACGGAACCCAAGGGGCCAGCAGCTGGCCGACTTCATGGAGAAAGAGGGACTCTTTATGATGAACTCTTTCTTCCAGAAGCGGCCCCACAGGAAGTGGACCTGGTCGAGCCCCGACGGTTCGACAAAAAATGAGATTGACTTCATTATGACGACCAGACGACAACTGTTCAGTGATGTCTCAGTGATCGCGAGGGTGAAAACCGGCAGCGATCACCGAATGGTTAGAGGCACACTGAACCTAAACGTTAAGTTGGAGAGGTCTCGTCTAATGAAGTCAACGCTCCGTCCCCCTCGTGCTCTTTTCCAAAGTCCCGAAACCTTTCAGCTCGAGTTACAAAACCGTTTTCAGTGCCTAGAAGACTGCAATGAAGTGGACGATTTGAATGACAAGCTCGTGGAAACTGTCCATGCGGTCGGAGCTAAGTTCTGCAAGACCCGCCGCAGAAGAACACAAAAACTCTCCGATCACACTCTTAATCTCATGGCTGTTAGACGGGAGATGAAGCTACATTCTTCAACAGATTTAACAGCATACAGGCAACTGAACAGACAGATCTCCAAATGCATGCGGCGGGACTTACGCAAATTCAATACAGCTCGTATTGAAGAAGCGATCGAGCGGAACCGAGGCTCCAAAGTCTTTGCCAGAGATCTGTCTGCCAGAAAGCGCCAACTGTCAAAGCTGAAGACAGAATGTGGCAGCATCGTTTCCGGGGCACCTGAGATTTTGAGTGAGATTGAGAGGTTCTATGGGCAGCTGTACACGTCATCGTTGGAGCCGCACGCAAGTGTGAGTAACGATCCAAGAGCGAGTCTTATCCGACATTATTCCGATGATATCCCGGACGTCAGTCTGAGCGAGATTAGAATGGCTCTCCAGCACCTTAAAAACGGCAAGGCCCCAGGCGAGGATGGAATTACAGCGGAGCTTCTGAAAGCGGGTGGAAGACCGGTACTTGAAGTCCTTCAGAGGCTCTTTAATTCCGTCCTCCATGGTGGCATTACACCGGAGGCGTGGAGCAGAAGTGCGGTGGTCTTGTTCTTCAAGAAAGGCGACAACGCTCTCTTGAAGAACTACAGACCAATTTCCCTTCTGAGCCGCGTCTACGTGCTGTTTTCGAGAGTCATTACGAATCGTCTCGCGCGCAGACTTGACGACTTCCAGCCTCCCGAACAAGCCGGTTTCCGAAAAGGCTTTAGCACCATAGACCACATACATACCCTTCGGCAAATTGTGCAGAAGTCCGAGGAGTACAATTTGCCACTATGTCTGGCGTATGTGGACTATGAGAAAGCCTTTGATTCCGTCGAAATTTGGGCGGTGCTGCAGTCCCTTCAGCGATGCCAAGTTGACTGTCGGTATATCGAAGTGTTGAAGTGCTTGTACAGTAGGGCTACGATGGCTATCCGAGTACAGAACCAGAGTACGAAACCTATCCAATTGCAGAGAGGTGTAAGACAGGGTGACGTCATATCCCCGAAACTCTTTACCGCTGCATTGGAAGATGTTTTCAAGCTTCTGGACTGGAAAGGATACGGTATCAACATCAATGGCGAGTACATCACTCACCTTCGATTTGCCGACGATATAGTCCTTATGGCAGAATCGCTGGAGGACCTAAGCACTATGCTCAATGACCTCAATAGTGTTTCCCAACGGATAGGTCTTAAGATGAACATGGACAAAACAAAGATCATGTTTAATGTCCATGTCACACCTATGCCGGTAGTTGTTGGGAACACTAAGCTCGAAGTTGTTGACGAGTATGTTTACCTGGGACAAATAGTCCGACTAGGTAAGTCCAACTTCGACCGAGAGGTCAATCGACGGATTCAACTCGGTTGGGCAGCGTTCGGAAAATTACGGCACATCTTCTCGTCAGGTATACCTCAAAACTTGAAAACGAGACTGTACACCCAGTGCGTGTTGCCAGTGATGACATACGGAACTGAGACGTGGTCCTTCACTGCTGGCCGGATGAGGAAGCTCAAGGTCGCTCAGCGAGCTATGGAGAGGGCTATGCTCGGAGTTTCTCTGCGTGATAAACTCAGAAATGAGGATATCCGCAGTAGAACTAGAGTGACCGACATAGCCCAACGGATTAGTAAGCTGAAGTGGCAATGGGCCGGCCATATAGCTCGAAGAACCGACAACCGATGGGGAAGAAAGGTTCTCGAGTGGCAGCCTCGTACCGGCAGGCGAAGTGTAGGGCGTCCCCCCACTAGATGGAGTGACGACCTGGTAAGATATGCAGGAAGTCGATGGATGCAGGTGGCTCAGGACCGTGCTTTGTGGCATTCTTTGGGGGAGGCCTATGTTCAGCAGTGGACTTGTGAAGGGCTGTAATGATGATCCTAGAAAAAGACTGTAATGGATTTGCAGATACAACAAAAAGAGAACAAAGATTAATCCCAAACACCACGAATACAACAAAAGTGTACTGAATATTACAAACGACAACAGAGGCAATAAATACTATTTTTTTTATATGATAAGGGTGACAAACGAACACACAGTCCACCTGATGGTAAGTGGTTGCTGCGGCCCATAGACATCTACATCTATCCTCTGTTACAAATCAAAATGTAGATGCGTTGTCACCCGTGAGGACTCAGATGGAATGCCTCATTTCCAGTAAAAAGGGCCTCCGGCCACCTGCACTCACCAAGCGAAACGCAGAGGTAAACCTCTACTTCGCGCTGATTTTCTGTGAGGTCGTGGTATTACCCTGGTTCGAGCCGGCCCATCCATGCGACAGCAAAAGCTGCCGCGTGGCTCTACCACTGTTAAATAAATTGTCCAATAATGTCGTTTTATTGACTTTGGTAGTAAGTGCAAGTTATTAAAAAAAGATTTAGGATCACAGTCCATCCCAATTGAGAACATCAATTTACCAAACTTGAAGGGATTGTGCAAAAATACCTTAATTCCGTATGGTTGTATGGTCATTCAAGTGGAAGTAGATGGAATAAATGAAAGAGTAGAAGCCTATTTAGTGAAGCCCAATTTATTGCCAGCAGATATATTGATTGGACAATCCTTCACACAACTTCCGAATATGCAAGCCTATAAATCTGATACTACATTAACATTTTACAAGAAATTGGGCACTCAAACTGAAAAATTTTCAATAGTTATTTTACTAAGAGTTTTACTTTCCGGAGTAACAATCGTTGTATTCAGCACAACAATTAAAGCGAGCGGTTCTATTTTCGTATCTACAGATGCCTGTTTAAAGAAAGGCATATTGGCATACATGGTAATTCCAGGGGTGTATTTTATAGAACACGGAAAGGGGACCGTCATCGTGATTAGTTTAAATTCAGAACTATTTAGTTTGCTATAGGATACGTTAATCTCTCGAGCGACATTCATCTTCAAAGAACTATTGCCAAAAGTTACAACAGATGGAACTATAACCAAAAATATTAGTATGTTACTCAATGCACATCAACCTCAAAGCTGATGAATCAGTAACCTACAGACCATATCGACTCTTATTATCCGAACGCGGGAAAGTCTATGCTATCATTGGCGATATGTAGACTAATAGCATACCAGAGTCAAAATCTCAGTTCGCTAGCCCGATAACATTAGTCGCAAAAAGAACGGTGAGTCAAGGCTTTGTGTTGACTACAGAGTATTGAATAGGAAGACTATTACAGAAAATGTCTCGATACCTCTGATCGATGATCAGATAGATGGCCTTTTCGGTCAGGTTTTCTTTACGATGCTTGACCTTACTTCTGGATACCATCAAGTACCAGTTTCAGAGGAGTCGAAACCATTAACGGCCTTCGTCACTCCGGATGGACACTACAAATACATTCGTATGCCATTTGGGCTGACCAATGCACCTGCGGTTTTTCAGAGGCTCGTTTTGAAACTTTAAAAAATACGTAATATTCCAGGTGTTAGCATACATGTACGATAAAATTATTGCATACCAAACAATAGACGAAGAAATGGAAAAGTTGCAAGCCGTACTCGACTTGTTAAAGGAAGCAAACTTGACGTTGAACCTCATAAAATGTAATTTCTTTAAAAAATCAATTGACTACCTTGGATTTGAGATATCGCACGAAGGTGTGAGACCAGGTCTTAAAAAGGTTGAAGATGTTGCTGCCTTTAAGACGCCACAAAATGTACAAGAAGTTCGTCAGTTTCTAGGCTTGTCGAGTTTCGCTTAATTGCCAGACCTTTAACCTCTCTTACAAAAGCAAACGCAACATGGACTTGGGATAAAGACCAAGTAAAATCATTTGCCGAACTTAAAAGAATATTAACAACACGTCCAGTATAACCCCTGCTATGAGACTGAATTGCACACTGATGCTAGTTCCTCCAGACTAAGCGGCAATATTGCTCCAACTTCAAAGTGCAGCTACAGCGTTTCGACCTGTAGCATATTTTAGTGGGCAGACTACGGCCGTGGAACAACATTTTCATTCTTATGAACTTAAAATGCTAGCCGTTGTGGTATCACTTCATCAATTCAGAGTTTATCTCATTGGCATTGACTTCAAAGTTGTTACAGATTGCAATGCTTTGCGTACAACTTTGACCAAGAGAGACCTTATACCGAGAATAGCTCGACAGAATAGAGTAGAATAGAATAATTTTTTATTCAATATAGATCACATGTGTAATTCTTATTGAAAATCATTTTTTACTTTACCACTGGTTCGAAAAAAACCTCTGTCCTGTGAAGAACCAGCAAGAAACCCAGTGGGACTTTTTTTAAAAGCATATTTTACATTAATGGTTGGTACAAAATTTATTTTAGAAACAGCTTGGAAGCAACCATCTCATTCCCAGGGGTCATTATGAACCATATATTCATTTATACTATAATAACCCTTTTTATACAGTTTCAACTTAACAAAACATTTAAACTTGGTAATAGAGAGAGCCTGTACACTTTCCGGGACCTTGTTGTAATAGCGTATACATTGCCCCAAGAATGAATTACTGACTCTGTGGAGTCGAGAAACTGGTATGGTGGCTCTTGATACAAGAAACCAAGAATCTTCATTTTCAATTGAATACCGTCCAGGAAAACAATTATCTCACGCAGATGCACTCAGCCGAAACTCAGTATCGTCAGAAAAGGCTAATGAATTCTACAGTTCGACTAGATTTACTAATGTGCTACAAATAGGAAAAGTGCATTGGTTAAAATCTGTTCAGATGAGTGATCCCAGACTTTGCCATATAAAGGCTGTATTGCAACCTAACGCAACTTAACCAAACGAGGTAATATGTATATTCTCGGTATAATTGACAGTTTCCAAAGATTGTGGTAATAAAAGCGGTCAAAAATAGAAAAAGCAAGACGTCGATCGACGTTCTTGGACGACATATTTGGACTATTCGGAGTACCGCAAAGCTTGATATCTGATCGGGTCACTAGCTTTACTTCGAATCAATTTACAACATTCGTTGAATTAGTAGGATTTAAACACATCTTAAACGCAGTGGCTTACTCCTCGGGCTAATGGCCAAATAGAGCGGTATAACCGCACAATACTGACCTCAATCACAATTTTATTTCATGAAGAGGATGATAGAAATTGGGCCTCAATAACACAGTGAACCAAAGTACTGGGAAAAGTCCTACAGAAATTATTTTCGGAAAAAATAATGAATGCTTCTGATACTCCCTTGCAGGAAATAGTTTCACCTAAAGACATTTCGCCCGAAACTATACAGAAAATCAGGAATGAGGCAAGTGATAAGTTAGTTAACCAATAAGGGATAATGAAGGAATGGTTTAATAAAAAACGATGTAAGGCCAAAGTGTACAGAGTCGGGGATTTAGTAATGGCCCAAAAGAGTACCAGGACACCCGGAGAGAGTCAGAAATTTTTTTCCAGCATTCAGCAGTGTTAGAACATGACCGTTATTTGATCTGTAGCGTTGAGGGTTACACAAAAAAAGTATAGTAACGTTTTTCCGGTAGATAAATAGAAAGTGATTACGGCGATAGTAATAAATAATTTGTCGTAAAGTCACAGGCATACTTCGTTCCTTCTATCACCTTAAGTTCTTTCGGCCTCCTTCAACTAAACGTCTTCTCGTCCAATCTCTAATTCTTCCATTATTTGACTATGCCGATGTTTGTCTAACTAATATTTCTCAAGAGCTGCTGAACAGGTTTGACAGGTTACTTAACAAATGTATCCGATTCATATTTGGCCTGCGCAAATATGATCACGTTTCAGAATTTCGCTCTTAGTTAAAGTGGTTGACTACACGCCAGCGCGGAGATTTCCGAATCCTGTCCACTCTGTTTTCAGTTCTTAATGATCCTTCCTCACACCTTTATCTAAAAGAAAGATTCCAATTCCTTAGTGACACTCATTCTCTCAATCTCCGTTCTTCACAAAGTTTATTCCTGTCCACTCCTCTCCATCATTCTGGGTCTATGTCAAATTCTTTCACAGTTACTTCCATTACCCTCTGGAACAAATTGCCTGTTGACTTGCGAACAATACCTGCCAAAAATATTTTTAAAATAAAACTGTATGAGCATATCCGTAGCCTACAAAGTTGAGTCAACTTATTTTATATGTTTATAGTTATTTATATATACATTTATTGAGATATATATGTATAAATGTGTGTATTTATTTATATTTGTATATGAATTATATATATTTTATATATGTGCATATTTTAATGTATGTGTTGCATGTATATATTTGAACTGAATTATATCATGACAACTTAACTGCCCAAACTCACTCTTTGTTCTACCCAAGGTTAGCTGATAGAGAATGCCATAGTATTAAGCTCGCCTTTTGTACAAATATTTAGTGCAATAAAGAATAAATAAATAAATAAAACTAACAATTGATCTAATTTTTCACCCGTACAAATTTTGTAATTTTTTTATATGTTATTTATACTACTTCCTTGTGGTTTTGATATATACTGAGTTATTCAAATATACAAACTTCCTTAATTCCTTTTCCTGAGTATTCTATTCCAACATCCAGTCCTGATTGAACTCTATGATGCCAACGACTGGAGAGAGACCAGAGCATCTTGTGTGTGGACATGGTGCCCAGTAAACAATGAAATTTTCTGAAGTAAGGCCGAAGTAGCTTGCGAATGCACTATGTATATACTAAACGCCTAGACTTGTTGGCTGTTGATGAACTGGAGTGGGGTCGAAGCACCTGGTGCGTGCAAGCGATGATCAGACTTGTTAACTTGAAATGAACTGGGGTGATGCCGAAGTACCTTGTGTGTGCAAGTGGTGCCCAGTCATATAAAATTTATGAAGAGAGGCCGAAGTACCTTGGGTGTACTAGTGGTACCCAGAGAATACATAATTTCGCTGGAATGAGGCCGAAGCATACTATGTGTGCTAGCGGTGTCCAGTCTACCCAATTTGCTGTACACATGCTGTGAACTTCTCGCGAGTCGCGAGAAAGGGACGCTGCACCAACTCAATGCACACAATTCCAACATCTAACAATCTATACAGAATGGAGATATTCTGTGGTGCGGGATAGCAGACTAAGTTAAAGCTACCAGTTGTAATTTTGTATTTTTTTTTCAATGTGTAATATTTCATTATATAAATGTATTCCAGTATAATAGACAATTGATGATTACTTCTGATTCTAATAACTTTTTTTTAATTTATATTATTTTGTTAACAATTCAGGATGACTGACTGTTAAAAATATTAATTTAAGGTTTTAATTTTGTCCTTTTTATTGTTTAAAAATAATATTGTTATTAAAAATTATTTGGGAAAATTTTATACAAATCACTACCTCCTATTAACCTCCTCGGGAGTTGAGTTTATATAACGGGCAACATCAGAGAGAAAAGGAGGTCAAACAGTTTGAAAATTCTTTGTGTGTAAAATTAATAACAGATTAAAAGGTTTAAACAGTCAAAACTTATTATTTCGTTAAAACTATTTTCACTTATTTTTAGTTTTTAGTTATTGTAGGCCTCATTCAAAGTATTTATTCAATCATGTTATAGCCTCATACAGTTTCATTCGTTACATCTTGGTTTACGCGGGCGACCTGAGGATAATTTAAGGCAGTGGTGGTTTACGTGAAGGTTCGTTACGATCATATATGTATATCTTAGGGTTCACTGCCGGGAATATATAGATAGACCGTCAACTAAGATCATCTTTGTACCTTGGCATGTGAATGATTTATGTAAATTGTATTATTTTAAAACCGAAAAGTTCTTTAAATCTTTTTTGAATACCACTCCCTATGTCTGATTTGAAAATAAGTTCTTCAGTTACGATCTTCCTATTTGGGCCAATTTTTATACGTTATTTATTTATTTATTTATTTATTTATTTAATTCATAAACTTGTGGCTTACAGAAAATCCAACACGCGCACAAGGTTAAATTTTACATGCAAAAAATTTTTTTCAGAAATAGTATCCATCCATTACAACAAAAATTAATAATCATAAATTAATTAATTATAAAATAATAGTAATATAAAATCTCGAAGCTTTTGGCAGCCCGTGTCAGAAATTAAAATGGTAATAAAGCCAATTAAAACCATAAAGTATTAATAATTAAACATTTTGTCATATCAATTTATAATGCAATGTCAATAAAACTAATAACAATCTTAATATGCCCATAGTTAAAATTACATCTTAAATATAAAGTATAAATAGTACATAGTCAACGAAATTAAATTGTCCAATTATTAATTGTCATATCATCAATGATTTTATAAAAAAGAGTCAGCAGACGTGTTATACTGTCTGCAAATAGGTCAATTTCATCGTGCTGAGTGAGTATGTCCCCTATAAGTATTAATGCACGATTTGTTGGTGCAAAAGCAGCACGTTTGGTACGCGTAACTGGTCTATCTAGAAGACGCGCCCTACGGCGCGGAGCCACCGTTCCTCCATTACCTCTATGCAGGTACCTAGGCACCAACAAACCGATTCTCTCCATAACCGACTGGCAATCCAACTTGTGGTGAATTATAGAAAGATAGTGCCTAATAGTTGACATCACCCTCCTAAACATTAGGGTTTCAAAATCAACCATACCCAAGACGAATAAAGAAGGATACAAATAAGGGTAGTACCCATGAATTTTCTTATAAAGCCAACGAGCAAATTTACGTTGTATCCTCTCTAACAAGAGAGTATACTTTTTCTCGTAAGGATTCCAGACCACA